CCTTCGCACCACTGTTCCTACCCTTTCCGAGAACCTGCGACCGTCTCTCCCTGACCGGGTACAAATTCGCCACAAGGAGGGGGAAAAGAGACAGATGGCAGTCAAACACTTTAATCGGAGACACAGAGCGAGGGATTTGTCACAGCTGGTACCTGGGGACCAAGTTTGGATCTCTGACACAAGAGCACAGGGCACAGTGACATCGCTGCACCATAGCCCACGGTCCTATCTGATCAGCGGACCATCAGGGACACTGAGGAGGAACCGGCGCCACCTTGTGCCTATACCTGTGTTTCAGTCACACAATGAGGACCAACCCGTCGGCCCACCAGAGGGGGACCCCTCTACAGGGACAAGATCAGAGACTCTGTTCCCAGAGGTGAAATCTCACAGCACGCCCAGTGTCATAAAGACAAGATCAGGCAGAGAAGTAATAAAACCACAGAGACTGAATCTGTGAGAAGAGATAAATATATATATATGTGGTGTAATGTAACCTGTTGCCATTTGACCCGATGATGTCACGGGGGGTCAGGGGCGTTATTGGCGGGACCGGGATGTAACCGGATGTTTGGGGGTTCTTGCATATGTCTTAAGAGGTGCTCAGTAAAGATATTTACCGAAGCTGAAGGCAGTGTTTATTGTGTGGACCCACTACACGACAGTCACTGGCTGTCACTGCACAGACACACCCACACACTGCTGCTGGCCGCCGGCTCAGTGACACACCTGCCTGTACCGACCTTAAGCTCCCTGGGTCGCCTCTGTCTGCCAAATGTAACACTTCAGGAATTAATGTATCACAGCATTTATCTGCTGTCTTAATGGTGAAATCTGATATTCTCCTTCCAGCTCAGTAACAATGTCTGAACAAATNTTGCGCTGCAGACTTCATAACTTAAGAAAGCAATGGTCTGCTTATTTGGGGGAAGATGAATGAATCGAAATTAAATATGGGGAATGGGGTACATGTCCACCCATCCCACTGGTTCCTACCCCTGGTTGCAAGTGAACTGAAATAAAATTAAAAAACACATACTCTGCTTTATTGAGATGCTATCACCTACAGTAACAATTGGACTCGTTCACTTTTTTCTAATTAGCCGTGTATAGTGATGTGTCTTCGATTTTGTGGTTTATACCAACAGCCCTTTCGTGGAGATTTTCACATGCATAAGCGCTGATATGTGGTTAGATAAACGCCTGACCAGCAGCTGTGCTGACACCAAGATTGTTTTTGGAATATCAGTCTTTGACCTTGGCGTGACCAGAAAAGCACGATCGCGCAGATAATTCTCCATGAGCAGGTGGCTCCCTTTTCGTTTATACCAGCCAAGAATCTGATTCCGGTATCATAAAGAAAATCGTTTCCACGCATAATAAAATTACACAGAAATTTATCCCATAAGCGCAAAAGGCCACATATAGGTAGTAAAGTAGCTAAAATTATACTTTTACGCAAAATACAGCAATAAGGCCTTTGGCCTGTTTTATTTTAATATTGATACGCATTTAAAGCATACTTTTTTAGCAGTAAGAAAATTGTAGTAAAATATGCGATGAAAATAACAGCATACAGCATATACATAACGCCAAAAGAAAAAAATTATATACTGACAAATCGAGTCCATACATATAAGTAAAAAGTGTGTATTTATCTCTAAGAAAGGTTTTTCAATACTATGAAAGGTCCACAAAACAGTATGACCAGAAAACATCTGAGATACCTAATGTCCTTAGTGCTTGTCCATTACTTGGAACCTTAGACTGATTATTATAATTCCATTCAGTAATTTAGACATAGTCCATCGGGGTAGCACTGGATCTCACAGCTGAAAACTTTGTAGGATAAGATCGACTTTCCTTGGGGGGACAGTTCCAGCACAGTAAGCCTCCACCCAAGAGGAGTGTTCCAGCAGCTCCCCAGCCAATATAGAGGGATGCTCCCAGTTCCCTACGTTGGGCCTCAGTCAACAGGGGGTTGTAGAAGTCCTGGATTATGGTGTTGGCTGACCAGGACACAGGGATGAGGCAGAGGAGCCCAGCAGCGATGAAGATCACACCAGAGACAATACACGCTTTAGCCTTGGTTGTCTCTTCCTCCACACAGTTGGTGCACTTTCCACCAGCAACAGACATTACAGCTGCGAAGATGCCTAGGATGATGGAGATGACGACCATGGCGCGGGCGGCCTGCAGGTCCTGCGGCAGGGCGAGCATGGAGTCATAGATCTTGCACTGCATCTGGCCCGTGCTCTGGACCACACAGCTCATCCACAAGCCTTCCCAGATCACTTGTGCCGTCACGATATTGGCACCGATGAAGGCCGTCACACGCCACATGGGCAGGGCACACACGATGATGACCCCAAGCCACCCGATGATGGCCAGCACGACGCCCATGATCTGGAGTCCCTGGGAGGCCATGATTGTAGGTCACTGTCCTCGGTTCTCTATCCCAGGAGTGCCACAGAAGGTATTCAGAGAAAAAACGGCATCGACTATTTATTCCTCTCTGTGGGTGGGCGGAGTTTTGTACCAAGAAACAAAGAAAAGTTGTCACTTGATATGGAAGGGGTCATGTTGGCAGTGTTGTATGTTGTTCACACAAGGCAATGCAGGTGAAATGACCTCCAGCTTCTGGACCCAAAACAAGCACACTAGACACTGTCGACTCAGTCAATGGGTGACCTCTTTCTGTAACAACCCCTGCTTCTTTTCAGCAGGGTATTGACTTCTGAGGTGGTCAGTGAATTCCCAAGCTAAGCTAAACAGCTCTACAAAAGTTCTTTGGCGAAGGACATAGGTTACATGTCTTGCTTTACATCTACAAATAAACCATCTCTAGATGAACCTTTGTAGGTGGTTATCCAAAACTAAAACCATGATCTTAAAAGTATTTCAGTGGCATCATGAGCTGAAAAGCAAGCATTTTTTCTCTAAGAGGACAAAAACTTTTAGCATTAAAGACAATGGGCAACATAGCTACACAAGGGTTACAGCGATGGCTTCAGTTTACAACAGAAATATGAGAAGATGGCAAATTCGTTGTCAAAACATTAAGCAGTTTGGGAACTGAAAGAAGAGGACACGCCTCTCCTAGATAGCACCCACACTCTAACTGTCCTCCAGGTATGCAGGATGCTGTTCTCCTTAATCACAGTAACAGCATCAGGAAGTGATGCCAGGCAGGATAATATTGTATATTGCAGATTGAGATGCTTTTTGCAAAATAGAAATCAAAAAAGTTCTGCCTAATGTGAATTCCCATTGGCTAATCAGAAAGTGAGCCAGATTTTCTGCTGAGGTTGATGCAACAGGGGCTGGTTCAAGACTGTATGATGTGTGTCTCCAAGGTCTGTCAGTGACTTATTATTTACCTGCAGGTGAGAACTGGTTTGTCAAGTCTGAAATTGGTTTTTAAGGCAGTGTATACCTTCTAAATGCATATGTAGACGCAAGTTATAGAGATGAGCCTTGTGGAACAGGTGTGTAAACTTCCAAAAGTTTGAATCATCGTATTTAAATGGATTACCAAGAGAGTGACGTGTGTGTCATTTTAAGCAGTAGCAGTAGTGTCATGTAAATGAATTCTCCATATAGTCCAATGATATGCTGTCAATCTATTAAATAAAGGTTTTATATTTTTAAATCAATACAAATATAGTCAGGTGTCTATCCACAGAATGGCGATCAAGACAGGTATTATGAAGTAATGCAAATTATTTTTAAAAAGAGAAAGTGAAACATGCATAGGAAGGATTAGGGTAGGTGAAAATGAGGGTAGCTGTTTGGCAGTGTGTTCTGTGTGTACCCTGTTTTGTGTCCAGGGTGTCAACGCATAGACTCCAGCCTTTTTCCCTGCAGGGGGTGTCTCCCGCCGTAGATTTTGCGGACAGGCGTGTCTGATCGATAGCAAACAAATTTCTGGGGGGGGATTCAAACCCATAATTTTACCAGTTGGCTGCATGCCTGGTCACAACTCTGCACTGCATGACTGCTTACAGTAAATGTATGTATGGAGGGCAAAAAGATTTCAAATTCTAAGCGGACGGCACTGTCACGTTCTACCAATGTACTAACTATAGATGGCGCCATTTCACACTAGTCTTTTCCTTAATATGAAAGAAATTACTCAAGATTAACCAGCAAAGCATCAGCCTTTTATTTTTACCATAAAAATAACAATATTTAAAATACAGATATAATTTTGAAATGGCCTTTTAGTATAGAATTTATCATGCAAGATTATTTTTCAGTTTGAAATTGTCACATTATTTCACGGCATTTCTGACTGAATCCTGGTGATCCTTCACCAAAGCTCAAAGAAAGGGGTGATGTAAAGAAGAGACTGACAACAGTTGTGCAAAATACCAACACTTTTTTAAGCATTCATACTTCTGACAAGACACTGAGAAATGAGACACTGTTTCGTTCACCTGAACCCGACTTTTGGAGGCTCCGCCCTGGGAGTGGACAACTCCCATCATTCACGGAAACCCTTGAAACTTCTGCTGCCGATGCCGCTGATCGTATCGGTCTTTTTAAGCAGAAAGGGGTTGGTAACTTGACACCCATGGTTTGTAAAATGAGCTCATTATGTGACAATCAGGTGGGAATTTGAGATACATGCTTCTGATGTCTTTCGATGTATTTTCATACTTTTCATGCTTTCAACAAGCAGTGTTTTTAATGTCCATGCAATTGCTGTGAAACAATAATCTTTGTTTCCATTCTTTGTTGGATCAGTCATATTTTAGAAAAACATTCGAGACCTACCTTTCTGCTGTTACAGATAGATTTACAATGGATGCATCACAAATATAGACGTGAAATATGTATTTTAGAAAAAAAACATTTATTTACATTTATTGCCACTTAACCAACCAATAAATGCTTGAAGAATGTAAAAAAAAGATCAATATTATGACATCAAGTCAAGCCGTTTTGGGTGTTTTACAAACATGTAAACATTTTCTCAGTATAAAGGCATTCCAGGGTTAAAAATTACAAAACTATATACAGTAAAGAAGTCAGTTGCACATAAAACTCTGTGCAGCTTAAGATTTGCTTAGTTATTGAAACACAACATCAGTCACCGCCCCAGTCAGGGCACACATACACAAAGTATCACACCCTTGTTGTAATTAATATGGAATGTAACCAGTAGATATCTCTCTGACAGTCCATTCTTACAGTCCCATTTTATTTTAAGGCTCTGGAATGATCCTTTGGTCGAGGCAAACATACGTGATCAATGGAGTCCAAAGGAGGCCGTGTCGAAAAGGCATAGAATCCAGCCGTCATCCCCTCAAACAAATTCCTTGGCCCCCGAAGCTGTCGACCTGGCAGCGCTGTACTTGGCAGCGTAGGCGCTCTTCTCCTTGGGAGGACATCCACAGCAGAGAAGGCCTCCTCCGATGATCATGAGGGCGGCAGCAGCCCAGCCGATGTAGATCGAAGCGCCGATCTCCCTCTTCTGCGCGGCGACCACCAGAGGGTTGTAGAAGTCCTGGATGATGGTGTGAGCCGCCCAGCACGCCGGGATGAGGCAGAGGACTCCAGCGATGATGAAGATCACGCCGCCACCGATGGCCACCTTTGCCTTGGAAGACTCTTCCTCCACGCAGTTGGTGCACTTTCCACCGGCAATGGCCAACAGCATGCCTAGGATTCCGATCACGATAGCGATGACGATGAGGGCGCGGGCGGCCTGCAGGTCCTGGGGTAGCGCCAGCATGGAGTCGTAGACCTTGCACTGCATCTGCCCGGTGCTCTGGACCACGCAATTCATCCAGATGCCCTCCCAGATTATCTGGGCCGTAACGATGTTGTTGCCGATGAAAGCCGACACCTTCCACATGGGGACGGCGCACGTTATGATGGCGCCGATCCACCCGATGATGCCCAGGACCATGCCCAACATCTGCAGCCCAGTCGATGCCATTCTCTAAAGCTTCTCTTCTCTGTCGCCGCAGCAGGGGGGGAAAAAAATATCAGAGTCACACAAAAAGGCAGGTCGCCGATGCCTTGTCCCCAAAGCTTGTCTCTCAGTGAGTTACCAGGCCTGGTTCCTTTGGTATTTGTAGCTATCTGAGAGGGCGGGGCTTGACACCTGACACTACTAACCACAACTAACCAAACTGGTTTTACTATTTTCTCCTCGTTGCATTACCACCATCCCCCTCACCGAAAAGGTATCTGCCTGAGTCACTGATGATTCTGAATTAGTATTTTTTTTCCACAGAAAAACATATCATTTCCATAAATGGACGCTTCCTTGATTACCAAATGTCAGTCTTTTCCCCAACAGGACTTTAGCTAAAAGTTTCTACCATCCTGCAATGGACATGTCTTGCTGTTATTTCAGAACCACCCAAGTTCTAAAAAACAACATTAAGTCATTAAGCGCCATATCTTTGTGTACATTCAGACTTTCAAACACATGCATTTAAATTTTTGTTCCTCTTATTTATTTCCTTAGACACGACTATTATGTTGTAGCCATAGTGACGTATTTTTTTTTAAAAGTTAATACACCCATAAAGTTTATCGTAGCTGCTGAGATTAAGCATAACTGGCAGGTATAGCGGAAATCATGTAAGAGGTTTCAGGTCCGTCGATGCGTCATTCTGCCGGCTGGCCATTTATGAAACAGAAACAGGATCTTATCTTAACCTCCTGAGACTCAAGGAAAAAAGTGTCCTTCAATTTTAGGTTATTTGTCTTTGGAGGAAATAAGACATCTTACAATTTAGATTTGTTCAAATTTATTTTTATTTTTAATTTCACAGCATGTCTTCTTTAGTGTACAACAGGAATAAATACGTTTCCTTACATCAGTGAAAAGATAGATGCAAAAACAAAATGTCCACTGCAATGGACATAAATGAATGGGTGGGGTCTCAGGAGGTTAATGGTATTTGGTGGTGCGGGGAATAGCTTTGTATGTATTACGAGTTACTTATTCATATGTACCCTCACAGTGATGACACCATCGTTGCAGTGACATGGGGAATGCTCAGCAGCAAGAAGAAATCATGTGAATCATGTCACGGTTCAGCCCTATGACCATCACAACCAAAACTGCAGCTTGCAAGAACCGGAAATACACTCAGACTAATAGCGGATGAACGAAGAACTTAGAGATTCCATTCATGGGAGCGGTAGAACAGTTGCCACGGGTAACGTCCAAAAAATTCTGTAATTTCCTTTCATTTTGAAGAACACATAACATATAAATAAAGTGTGGACCGCCAGAGAAGTTCAAGTCTTAAAGTTCTCCTCATTTTGCGCTTAGGCATTATTCCACAGTAATGGCGGTCTGCGTTTACTCCCTCGTCCCGACCAAAGCCACCATAGCTGGCTAAGGCGTCGTCCCACTCAGCACACCTGCTCGGCCCTTGCTTGCAGGTGCAGAACACGCATTCCGTCCCAAACAGCCATTCTTTGTGTTGTCTGCCAGGAAAGGAGGTTTAATACACTCGGCTGCTCCCATGGAAGGTGAAGAAAAGCCATTATTTAAAATACATTCCTGAGTCGCTGGGAATCATGGCCATTGAGCCAGGCCTGTGCATTTTAATTACAACTGCAATTATGTACAATGTGCCTTTCCTAATGTTTTCATTTTTTGCGTATATGTTAGATATTGCTGTTCATTTGTGTGTGACGGCCCTGGGGACATTTGTCAGACTCATAACTCCACTCTAATTTACTGCCACAATGAAAGACAAAAAAAGAAACAAAAAATCCTACCCCCTTCTTCCCCAAACCACGAGTGTGCGATTCTTCAGTGCAATCAGACTACACACACAGACACACACACACACACACACATATATACATCACTTTGACTTCGCTGTATGAATCAAAGTTATGAATGACCTGAGCAACTCAATCGCCTTCTGAGCATGTTACTTTAATGGCTTATTATCAAACCACTGGGGGCTAAAATTCAGGACGGGAGGAGTAGGGAGACCACAGCAACCAGCTCTCCCTTCATCCAAATCTGGTTACAGTCCACAGGAGCTCTCTTAAAAATGGGGGGAAAATTAATCAAATTAGACTATAAATAGAAAATATTTCAAGACAGCAGAGATACTATGACTCATCCTGTTACATCTGTGTATCAACATGCATTCATGCACCTGTTCTTAATCAACACAAAACTGCTTCTAAATAATGATTATTAACCTTTACAAAACAGTCCAATTTCAGTACAATTTTAGGTTGCCCTTCCACAGCCTATTCAGGGGGAATTGTTGCAGCAAAAAATAACTGTTATACAGAAACCAAACAAGACTAGGCATCCAAAGTATGACAGGAGCATTTAGGGAGCCTGTCAACCTGTTTTTAATCCTGATTCCATTGTAGTCTTGTGTGGAGCCGAATCCGGCCTTTCAGAAATAATGTCTCCACTTGCTCTGTTTTGGAGGAGAGCAGGAACCGGTGGGGTGGGGGGGGGGGGGGGGGGGAGGGGGGGGGGGGGGGGGGGGGGGGGG